ATAAAAGTATATGTCTTCTGTGTAAATTCAAACTCATATAAACAGCAAGTAAGAGCGAAACCGGCAGGATAGAGTCCAGGCGGGATTTGCGCCAAAGCTGCCGCAGCCAAAGCACTGGAAAAGTTCCTGAATGACGGCACAAATCCGTATGATGACAAATAACCGCTTTGAAGTCCCACCGCGGCGAATAGGATCCCATTTGGCTATTTTGAAATAAGACGAGGGGAGCTTAAAACTAAACGAAAAATCACAGAGCCCTCCAGTGTGTCACCGTTCTGGTTTTAGTCGTGTTGAAGCTGCGAGCAAAAGAGGCGGACGTGTGCTTATCTAAATAAGAGGGTCACGCCTGTTAATTTTGATACTTTCCTGCAACAATACTGGCCTTGACAAGCCGTCCGAGGGACTAATGCGAACAATAACGCCAGCTTCCCTCCCATCATGCATCACTATTCTGCCCGCGTGAAGGTGCAGGCATAAACTTAGCAAGGCGCCGCCGCGGCCTCAAATTGAAATGGACTTGCGGAGAAATGAGCAATTTCCCAGTGGAAGGATTGCAAAGTTGGCGAGGCCGTCGCCGGCTGACCTGTCATCAATCACCTTGCGGCACGCCGCGAAAGCCGCAAAGGCTGCAGGGAGGCGCAGTCGCACTTGGGGGACACAACCACCTGAACGCTCACATGGCTCAATAGTTGCATTTCATTTGTTCCTTCACCTCAATCACTTTGCTTTGGTAATCACTCTGTACTTAAAAATGCATCATGTGGCTGACAGAGACGTGTGAAAAAAAATGATGCAGAACACGATGAACATCAGTCAAAAAGAGAATGTTTTGCCGTTATTTATTTATTTTGACAAAAGGAGGTTACACCATTTCATTTTGTGGTAAGCAAGTGCCATTGACTGGGTAAAAAAAAAAAAAAAACAGCAAAACGACTTTTCATTTGAAATTATGTAAAAGTCACAAGATTTGGAGAAACAATTCAATAAAAACCCCGTAGAATAGCAACAAAAGGCAAAGCAAAAAGAGTAAAAGATGAAAATTATATTTTACATTGTTTTTTAAGATACAAAGAAAATAATTGTACTGCAACTAGATATGAAACTAAATGCGAGGGATCATTTTATTTTCTGTGGAAAGGAAAACATAGATGAAAACAATTCACACAAAAAGTTAAGATACAAAAAGATTTAAAGATCCACCAACACCACCAAACACACACAAAAAAAAACAATTTCACGCACGAATTTTCATTGTTTTTCATGTAAAAAGTATAGTCTCAAGTCAGACACAAAATTTTGAATTTAAACAAATGAAATAATTCACTGCTTTTTATTGTATTTATTTAACTTTTGTTAAAATTTGAAAATGTAATGTACATCAATAAAAATCTACTTGTGATGATATACAGAAGAAATTGTTCACATACAAAAAATAACTTTTGGATTGATATTTCATGATTTTGGATATAAAGTAAAAAAAAAAAAAAAAAACAACTACCGTAAACTTGTTTTTGGAGAACATTAAAATAACACAGAAACGCCCCCAAAAGAATGTAAAATCAATTAATATTAACAGTTTTCTCAACAACAAGAAAAAACACGCAAATATACACAGGATTTCAACTGAAGAGCAAACATATGCACTTTAACAACCTTAAACAATTTTTTACAGGCGATGCAATGGAAAAAAAACAACTCTAAAAAAATAAAAAATAAAAATCACTTTCATGTTTTTTTTTTTTTTTTTTGGTGTGTGAAAAGAGATTTGCGCGCTACATCTGCATCGGAAACCACAACCACACAGTGGCAATGAATTCGCTTTACCAGCCAATGGGTGCCAAGACAACTTGAACTGTAAATTCATTGTTGAGTCTCCCCAGGTAGCATTAAAGCTATTGTACATGGAGGCTAAGTTGCCGATTCCGCTTCCTGAACCAGAGCCCGAGTCTTGAAATGCCCTCACTTGGCAGCTTTTTTCTTCTTCTTCTTCTGAACGGCGCTAGTGGTGCCAAATCTCTTTCTGACAGCCTGCCAGCGAAGTTCATGTCATTCACATCCAGACGCCCGCAAGCCGGGAAAGCAGTGAGAGTAGAAGAGCTGCAATTTCATGGAGCGTAGAGGAGATTTTAAAGCGGCAAACTGGACTTTGTGTCGTTTTTTATTTTATTTTATTTTTTTTAACTGTATGAGAATGTCGTGTCTCATTGCAGCCATCATGAAACTGATGTGTGTACCTTAAGTGGTCTGACAAAAAACATTGAAGAAATCATGCCTGCCAGGAAGTCTGCCATTTTGAAGCGGCCATTTTTGGGTCATTTTGCCAATTTTGTTCAAAAGGTTCCCCACTGATTTTTTTTTTTTTTTTCAAATTCAGTTGCACTTATAGTAAGTTGAAATTGGGTTGATGAGTTTATACTAAATAGACTCACAAAAAAGTCTCAGGAACCTGTCATATGGGTTTAAAGTGGGCAATTTTAAGTTCAAATTGGCTATTTTTTTCAAACAAATTCTGTAACAGTTTTTAGGAAAGTTTGTTTCACTTGGCAGCATATTTAGTAGACAGATCTTTAATAAATACACCCAGGAATAAGTCTAAAAGAAAACAAAAAATCAAATAAAAAGTTAAAGGAAGTTAGCCATTTTTATTGGAAGCAGACATTTCAATAAATTCCAAAAATGCAAAGCTTGTTTTGAAAAATTAGCCCACAAAGCATTTTTTTTTTAATTCCGAAGGTGCTTTTTTCATGAACAGAGCAATAAAAAGCCATGCTTGAACAGACAAAGGAACTCCACCATTTCAGTTTTAAGACAAGATAAGATAAGGTAACCTTTATATGTCCCACACTGGGGAAATTTGCAGTCTACAGTTTTAAGTGACTGATTATGATATACCCTTACAAAAGTGGACTGAAGTGAACTGCTTGTTGGAAATATGACGATTGATGCAGGAGGGGAAAAAACAAAAACCCACCAGCTCATGCAGGGCAGTGGTCCTGTGACAAGTAGTACGTTACCCTCGTGACATTTTGCCAGCCAAACCAAACGTGGGGCTTTATTCTGAATTTCTCAAGCTGCAGTTGGAGGTTTTATGACTTATTGTTGGCATTTGGAACTCCAAGTTGAAAAGGACAGGAGAGAAAATTGCGAGCAATACATCATTGCCAAACGTCACGAGTGAACCTTTTCGTTTTTTTTGTCCATGAAACGGGGCATACTGTAGTTCTGATAGCAAACTGCTGTGTTGGCTCGTGTTATTTAATGGATGACTCCATGTCCTACTTTCCCAGTCTTGTGATGATGAACAGGGACGTTGTGTCGGTCGACAACAACAACTACACAATGCCCGTGTTGAGATCCCACAGGGCATTTGTCTGAATTAATGCGTTTGACTCACACAGTGTTCCTGACCTCAGAGGA